CTGATATTGTGAGCAAAAAATATTATTTCAACACATTATAATAATCGTCATTAACAATAAACAAACAAGTACTTTTTGTAAGTTCTGTAACTAGTTGGAAATGATTTCTAAGATTGTAAGGGATGATTTGAGTGTGCAGTGGTGTGGAATAATTGGTTTGTTATGGGACTCTTTTATTCCTAGGCTGCATGTAATAAACCTGAAATATTGAGCTTTTACCTAGGTATTCCAATTTCTATTGTCAAAACCACACTATTTTAAAAAATTAGGACTGACAGAAGAGCAATCACTGACAGTCAACGGGTAGAATGCACTAGTTATGATATGCTTAGAAGCAGGAGGTATATGCACAGTCAACACAAACCATCCACAAGACAGCTACTAATCAAGGGCCACAGTATTTCAGGCATATCTTAAGATTACTATTTAATTCATGTCAAGGAGTAGGCATTCAAAGTGTTAATATACATGCTTGGCTTATAATGAAATCAGTCAAGTTAGCCATCACCCAAATCACTCATCAGGCACGGTGTCGACACAGCATTGGTATTATGCCAAAATGTCAGTCATCGTTAAACCATCAACAAGTTAGTGATTAGTATTGAGTTGACACCTCACCCTGCAAACATGCAATGTAATGATCCCTACTGATACAAATATTTTATAATGTGATAGAAAGAAGTTACAACTTGCTATAGTTGTTACAACTTGTTCGATCGTTGCAGCAACGTCGTAGTTTTGTAGTGTGTTTGGAAGGCAGTCATCAGTATACAATACTGTCAATAAGTCTGCCATCAGTGTCAATAATTCACCCATGAGTGTCAATAATTCAGCCATCAGTATGTGTCAATATGTCAGTCATCAATTTTGTGTCAATATATCAGTCATCAGTATATTGTTGTTACATTGATCATCAGTATACTGTTGTTACATCAGTCATCAGTATACTATCGTTGCATCAGTCACCAATAGAGAGTCAATATGTATTTCATCAATACAATCTCAATGGCACCCATCAGTAAAGTCAATACATCAGTCATCAGTATAGTGTCGATATGTAAGTCATCAGAATAGTCTCAATGTGTCAGTCATTAGAATGGTGTCAATGTCATCAGTAGTGTCAATATGTCAGTCATCAGTATGTGTCAATACATCACTCATCATTATAGTGTCAATACATCAGTCATCAGTAAAGTGTCAATATGTCAGTCATATATATATAGAGAAAATATGAGTCATCTGAAATGTCATTACATCAGTCATCAGTATAGTGTCAACACGTCATCAGCAGAGTCAATACGTCATCATTAGTGCCAATACACCAGTCATCAGTGAATTGTTGTCACATCAGTCATCGGTATGTGTCAATCATCAGTATACTGTAGTGTCAATACATCAGTCATCAATATATTTATTATTTTTTTATTTATATATATACAAGAAGGTACATTGGGATTGTGAAGATACATAGCATAGTAATTACATTCTTGTAAAGCCACTTGTACGCGCAGCATTTCGGGCAGGTCTTTAATCTAAGAAAATTTTATGTAGGTAAATACAGTATTAGCAAAATTTATAAAATGATAATAAGTACATAGCAAGAAATAAATAAAAGATAAAGAGAAATTTGTAGGTATATTAAGGCACATAGGTAGCTCAGATTGATTGCAATGACAGCTTGAACGGTAGTCAACAAAAATTAGTAGGCACAATACAGCATTATGGCTAGCACATTAAGGAAGACAGCAATGAACACAATGATAAGAGTTGTTTGGGTTAAGTACATAAAGGTTGGGAGATTGGGTAACACTAGATAAAGAGCAAATTTAAAGCTCAGTGTAGGAAACTACGAAGATAAAATTAGGTACTTTTTGTTTTTGAATGAGGCAAAAGTTTGACAGCTTTTCAATTCACTAGGGAGTGCATAGACAGGTCCCTTTATTTGCATTGAGTGTTTACACAGATTAAGTTTGACCCTAGGGATATCAGAGATATTTATTTCTGGTGTGGTGATAATGGGTCCTATTACATCTGTCCAGGGAGAGTTTCAGAGCATGGTTTCCATTTAAGAACAGGGTTTTGTAAATGTAGTTGACACACGAGAATGTGTGGAGAGAGAGTTAATATTTAGCATGTTAAGGGATTTAAACAAGGGAGCTGAGTGTTGTCTGAATAAATACAAAAATAAAATATAGTGTCAGTACATCAGTCAGAATGTGTCAATATGCCAGTCATCAGAATGCATCAATACATCAGTCATAAGGATAGTGCCAATACGTCAGCCATCAGTATAGTGTCATTACATTAATCATCAGTATAATGTCAATACATCAGTTGTGTCAATATGTCAGTCATCAGTATACTATCAATAAGTCAGCCATCAGTATGTGTCAATAAGTCAGCCATCAGTATGTGTCAATAAGTCAGCCATCAGTATGTGTCAATAAGTCAGCCATCAGTATGTGTCAATAATTCAGCCATCAGTATGTGTTAATACATCAGTCATCAATTTAGTGTCAATATGTCAGTCATCAGTATACTGTCGTTACATCAGTCATCAGTATACTGTTGTTTCATCAGTCACCGATATAGTGTCAATATGTCTTTCATCAATACAATCTCAATATAAAATAAATAAATAAATAAATGTTTATTTAGGTAAGGTACATACATACAAGAGATTTTACAAAGTTTGTTGGATTAATAGATAGAGCTAGTACATACAATACCTAAAGCCACTATTACGCAAAGCGTTTCGGGCAGGAAATGCCACCCATCAGTATAGTGTCAATATATCAGTCATCAGAATAGTGTCAATACATCAGTCATCAGTATAGTGTCAATACATCAGTCATCGGTAGTGTCAATATGTCAATCAAGAGTGTCAATACATCAGCCATCAGTATGTAGCAATATGCCAGCCATCAGTATGAGTCAATACATCAGTCATTAGTATAGTGTCAGTCATCAATATGTGTCAGTAATCAGCATGTCAGTCAACAGAATAGTGTCAATACATCAGTCATCAGTATAGTCTTTACATCAAGTCATCAGTATAGTCATTACATCATTCATCAGTATGGTGTCAATATATCAGTCATCAGAAGTGTCCATACATCATCAGTAGTGTCAAAACGTCAGTCATCAGTATAGTGTCAATACATGTCATCAGTATAGTGTCAATACATGTCATCAGTATAGTGTCAATACATGTCATCAGTATAGTGTCAATACATGTCATCAGTATAGTGTCAATACATGTCATCAGTATAGTGTCAATACATCAGTCATCAGTAGTGTCAATACACCAGTCATCAGAAGTGTTAATACATCAGTCATCAGTTTTGTGACTACATCAATCAGTATAGTGACATCATTTATCAGTATAGTGTGATTACATCAGTCATCAATATAGTGTGAATACATCAGTCATCTGAAGAGTCAATACATCAGTCATCAGAAGTATCTATATATCAGTCATCAGTACAGTGTCAATACATCAGTTATCAGTATAGTGTCAATACATCAATCATCAGTATAGTGTCAATATGTCAGCCATCAATACATGTCAATATGTCAGTCATATTGACACAGAATAGTGTCAATATTGACACTATCATCAGTATAGTGTCAATACATCAGTATAATGTCAATAAGTCAGTTATCAGTAGTGTCAATACATCAGTCATCAGTATTTATTTATTTATATATATATAAGAAGGTACATTGGATTTGTGAAAATTCATAGCATGGTGTTTACAATCTTGTAAAGCCACTAGTACGCAAAGCATTTCGGGCTGGTCCTTAATCTAACAGATACTTTTAAGTAGGTAAATTCTAGCAAAATTAATAAAATGATAACAGATACATTGCAAGAAAAAAATGAGATGAGAGATTAGTAAGTATATTAAAGCACATTGGTATATTGAAGCTCTGATTGATTGCATTGACAGCTTGATTGGTAATTTAAAAAAGATTAATAGGCACCATACAGCAAATTGATAGCACATATAAAAAGACAGCAATGATCACAATGGTAAAGTTGTTCGAATTGGGTACATAAAGATTGGGAGATTGGGTAGCACTAGATACAGTGCAATTTTAAAGTAACAAGGTAAAAACCTATGATTAGGTACTTTTTAGTTTTGTTTTTGAATGATGCAAAAGTTAGAGAGCTTTTCAATTCATTAGGGAATGAGTTCCATAGACTGGGTCCGTTTATTTGCATAGAGTGTTTACACAGACTAAGTTTGACTCTGGGGATATCAAAGATATATTTATTTCTGGTATGGTGATAATGGGTCCTATTACATCTGTCCAGGGAGAGTTTCAGAGCAGGATTTGCATTTAAGAACAATGTTTTGTAATGTAGTTGACACAAGAGAATTTGTGGAGAGAGATCATGTATAGCATGTTTAGGAAGTTAAACAAGGGGCTGAGTGTTGTCTGAAAGCAGAGTTTGTTATTATTCTGATAGCAGATTTTTGCTGGTTAATGATGGATTTGAGGTGGTTTGCAGTGGTTGAACCCATTGCACAGATACCATAATTAGGATAGGGATAGATTAGTGCATAGTATAGAGAGATGAGAGCAGATTTAGGTACATAATATCTGATTTTGGAGAGTATACCAACTGTTTTAGAGACTTTCTCAGTTATGTGTTGTATGTGGGTGCTGAAGTTGAGTCTCTTGTCTAGGAATAGGCCAAGAAACTTTCCATCATTTTTATTTCTAATGTTTACATTGTCTATCTGTATGCATCAATATGTCAGTCATCAGAATTGGTGTCATGACGTCAGTCATCAGTATATGTCAATACATCACTCATCTTTATAGTGTCAATTAATCAGTCATCAGTAAAGTGTCAATATGTCAGTCATATATATAGTGAAAATATGAGTCATCTGAAAAGTGTCATTACATCAGTCATCAGTAGTCAATACATCATCAGTACTGCCAATACATCAGTAATGTCAATACAGCAGTCATCAGTGTACTGT